GGGATGGGATAGTCGCTGAAGCACATCATCTCCTTGGACGTGTTGATGATCACTGATTTGTAGATACTGGCCCTTCCTTCTTCAGGATTTTCCTGCAGTAAATAAGAAGCATTCATAGCAACTTGAGAATTAACTTCATGGTTTACAAGCAGCCAATAAACATTTCAAAAAGACCGGCCGAGTGGCTCAGTTGGTTGAGAGAGCAAGCTCTGAGAAACAGGGTCACCAGTTCGATTCCAACCTGGGCCAGTGAACTGCACCTGAGCTGAGCTGCCACTGAGCTGTTGGCAGGATGGCTCAGCTGGTGAGAGCACATGCTCCTAACGACAACGTTGCTGGTTCGACTCCCGCATGGGATGGTGGGCTGTGCCCACCTGCAACTAAGATTCAACAAGGCTTCTTGAGCTGAGCAGCTGTGAGCTGCGGAAGGGCGGCCGGATGGCGACTGGACTTGGAGCAGAGCTAGCTGCGTCCTCCACAACTAAGACTGAAGGACAACAACTTGGCTGTTCCCCTCCCCCAATTCCCCAATAAAATCTTTAAAAACAATTTTTTTCAAAAAGTTTTCTGAAAGAAATGCCATTGAAAAAAAAAGTTATGTACACATAGGCGCCCGCGAGCAGGCACACATACCCTCCACGTCTCCTAATATTTGCGCCCTTGTGTATATATTCTCTCCATCTTGAATCTGAGCTGTCTTTATGACTTGCTTTTGACCAACAGCAGGCAGTTAGTTGGAAGAATACTGAATGGCTTCCCAGACTATGTCATAAGTAGTCCTGCAGCTTCTGACTGGGGCTCTTAGAAAGCTTGCTCTGATGGAAGTCAGCAGCCACGTATGAAGTCCAACTACCCTGAAGCCACCTTACTGGGAGGAAGCCCAAGCTAACCCCTTGAAGAGACTGTCTGGGATAGAGAGTTGTGCAGCCAGTCCCAGAAATTCTAGTTATCCCAGCGGCCGTTCTAAGCATGGGAGCAAAGAGACCATAACAGATGTACAGTTTCAGCTGTCAGCTGATTGCAGCATGAGATTCCAAGTGAGAACTGCCCATCTACGTAATAGTCTTAAATGTTTGCTATATTTCAAGGCCTAGGTAAGTTTCAAGGGTTTTCATATACTTGCGAGATTGCTCTCCAGGAATCAATGTACTAACTTATATTCTGTCTAGTATGTGTTCTCAGTTTACCCCGTTTTTACTAAATTAAACGACTATTACTCAGTGTTAGCATTAATGGGGTGAAATGGATGCTTACGCTGGACAGAGTGTAAGTTAGTTCAGTGTACTTACGTTACTTTCCAGCATCGGTCTTACCTAACATTAGTGATGAGATCAAGAATGGACTGAAATTAATATCTTGAGAGCTTATACATACTGTAGTTCCCACCCCTTATTCTCTTTCCCAGGTTTCAGTTACCCACAGTCAACTTCGGTCTGAATATATTAAGTGGGAAATTCCAGAAATAAACAATTNCATAACACTCACACATGTTTTTATCCTTTCTTGTTTATATAGCTATTTCCTGATAAATGCTTGTTGAATTAGTTCAAGGAGTAACATATAAAATCACTTTTTTGGTGCTAGTTGGGGATAGTATTGAGAAGTGTTATTGAATGGGGTTTCTGGGTAAAGGTCGTTTCACAAATTTGTGTCATTAGACTTCCATTTTTTTTTAAAGTAATTTATAACATATTTGTGGAGAAGCACAACTTAGTTAGAGTTACTGAAGAACAGCCAGGCATTTAACTGTTGCCAATAAAGTTATGATGCAATAACGACATGAATGACAAAATATAAAAATGACATGTTTTTCCCTAGGGATTTATAATGAAGACACTTTCTTCCCAGTTCAAAATCTATGATACAAACAAACCCTGAAGGACATAGAAATTGCTTTAGAGCAAATGTCATTCCGTATTAGCTAGCTATACGCAAAGTCTGGGGTGAGCTGCCTGCATGTCCCACAGTGGGGACACTTTCATAGCGACATGCCTGTGGCCTTTCGAAAGGTTATACTGCTGCTTTTCTCCATTTGGGGGGTGAAGAGGAAAATTCCCCCACCATCCTATGAGTGCCAAGCTCTCTGTGATCTGGGGTGTTTTCCATCCCATGAGAGCATGGCGCTCGTGCTGACCCGCAGAACATCCACACTTTTGAACGCTGCAGTCCAACAAGCTCTCCCAGCAATTACTTGGTCTCCTTCAAAGCCGGAGCCACAGGCTGAAGGGACTGACTGACTGGGATTATGAGCACAGTCTATGGTCATGACCTAATTCCCTTAGGGTGAGGCCAACTGAATGATGAGAATCTAACTGGCAGCTTCGGCTCCAAGTGAGGCAACAAAACCAAGCCCTGCATCTGCCCTTGGCACCGACGAGCTGGGTGAGGGTCTCCCTATGTTCGAGACCTATGTTTCCCGCGGGGTCCACCCAC